ACCGTGATCTCGTGCATCATCATCAGATTGTACCTGTGTCGGCATGGCGTATGTGTGTTGAGGGTGGAAGTCGTCCCTCACAATCTTCTAATAATGCATCCATTATGCATTCGATGAAGGGCTACCACGCTGAACCATTTCTGAAGCACTCAGGAAAAAAAAAAGCAAAACAGATCTGTGCTCTCCGAGGGAGAAGTGGAGTAGTTGCTGAGTTTTAGTGATAATCTTGTTGTGGAAGGGCAGCTTGAGGTTGTTACCCGTACCTGGCCGGCCGTTCTCTGTGACAAACCACTGAAGCCCATGTCAGAAACAAGGTCATTCTGTGCCACATTATAGTTTCCTCCTCTGTTGTGTCATGCATCGCCCCATGAAATGGAGACTTAATGGATACTCGCCGTATTGTGGCGAAGAGTCAAGAGAATATATCGTTTTGTTTTTTTTTGTTTTGTTTTGTTTTTTGTTTTTTTTCTGTCAGAGAGATCTCAATTATCAAGGCTGCATCTTGTCTCTAATTATATTCTACTTCAGTTGTGCAACAAAGCAGGCAGTGCAATTATTATTATTATATTATTAATATTATTATTATTATATTTTCTATTTTATTTTATATTTTCCTGCTAGGACTGCATTCATTCACTATTGTAATGTTCAAACAGGCTACTCTAGTGTTCTTATGAATGGCGTGAAAGACAACCACTTCTTTTCGCTGAATATGAAGAGATATCTTGCCGAGATGTCTGTGTCAGTAGCTCACTCAGCCTGTGTGTATTTTATTGATTTAACCTCTGCACGCTAGAACGTCCGAAATGCACAATTCATGTACTTTCATTTTTAATATCAATAAAAAAACATTTTATCAAACGTACGCCGTCTGACAGACTCGCTGCTTTGTCTTTGGGTGTTTGCGCTCGTCCTGGATGTGCCTCGAACTGCTCCGTGTATGTTGAGCTCCGGGGCCATTTTTGAGATCTTTTTATATCAGTTAAACCTTATGTACCCTGCCGATGATTTATTACATCTTGAGGCCTTGAAAAGAATCTCCAGCTGCTTTTAGCACCCTCTCTCTTCCTCTCATCCACCCGCCCCCCTTTTTCCTCTCTCTTTTCTCTCTCTCTCTTGCTGTGTATCTGCTTGTCCGTCTGTCTCTGTCTGTCTGTCTCCTCTGACAGGCCAAAGTATGCCCAAGTCGAAATCAGCACTCACAGAGTGACAAGCAGCCTCGCCGCAACTCCTCAGTCCTTCCTCTTCTGCATGCCACACTAACCTGACCTGTTCTCGCTGCCTCTGACACACCCATCCGTACATCCATCCCTTCATCCTCCAGTGGCTTGCTAACTACTGGAGCAAGCTCCACTTCAGTGGCTTAGTTTAGCAACCGACATGTCTCAAATTATCACATGCATATTCTGAAAATGGCACAACCTTTCATTGTTGACATGCATGCACATACCCACCCATGAGATGTCTGTTACCGGGCAGATTTACAGCATAGTATCTTGGTTCCCAGAATGGAACGGTTTGGGGCACTGGGGTTATCTTGGTTCAGCAGAGTTTACTGTAGTTCTTAGTAATGTTCTCAGCTGGCATCAACGGGTTTGAACTTTACAGCCAGAAGTGAGGGAGAAATCTCTTTTACTTTGGCTTCGGTGCAAAGTTTTGTCTTACAGTGATGAGATGCACATGTGTTGCTTCTGGCAAAGCGGGGAGGCTGGTCGGCTATCGCTGCAGAGGAGCTCAGGAGTTCTGTGTTTTACGGTTATAAATCGCTCTATTAAATCACCTTTGCCTCTCTCATGAAACCTTATTGCCCTACTAAGGAGTCCGTTCCCCCTGCAACAAAAAAAGAAGAGGGAAAAACAGTGGAAGTCTACCCTGTCAGAGATTGTTTGTTACTATGGGATGGCTGCAGGCTGCACAAGTTCACACACAACATGCACGAACTGAACGTGCATAGAATCGCAAAGCAAATTCTCACATATTTTCAGAAAGTGAAATCTGCAGTGTTGCTTGGGTCACTTTCCTGATAAATGCTCTCATTGACTTAACTCTGAGGGCTGCGGTTTGAAATAGGTTTAGAGTAAGAGTTGGGGTTAGACACTTAGTCGTGATAATTAAGGTTTGGGCAAGGAGCTGGGGAATGCATGTCCGTACAAAAAGGCAACAAATGTCCTCACACACACAAACATGTGTGTAGTATGTGTGCGTCTGTGGGACTAAACCTGTTCCCTGCATGACTCTGTGCAGCTCTGAGATGAGATCAGGGACGCTCTGGTCCTCAGGGCTCATCATGTCACCCGCACGCCTGACAGGGCAGAGTCTGGCATGACATAAGTCAGCTGAAACAAGCCGAACCAGGCCAAAATGTCAAGATCGCTGAAAGTGATACCGCAGCGACGTCTGAAGAAGGAGATTTACATTTAGATGCTTCAAAGCGGTCTCGTTTATTGCGGGATTACGGAGTATTAATCACGCTGTTATGCAATAATCTCGACAGGACTGAACATGCAGGAGGGCAAAAAGGTTTTCCTCCTCCGTCCGAGGAATGCGTCTAATACGGGTAAGCGCATTTTTAACTCGTCGTCGAATTTAAACGCGCGTCTAAAAGCGGAGCCGTGGACATAAAATCACTATAAAATTATCCTAAATAAGTAAACAATAGAAGGAGCACAGAAATGCCACCTCAACCTAAACTGGTGGAGCCAAATAAACCATAAACCCAAAACCCACGCATCCATCCCCATCACAGAGGCCTCCTGAACTGTGGAGCGGAGTGTAGATGTGGGTGGCACAACTCTCCCAGGCCTGACATTGGAAACTGCCAAAGAGCACACTAGACTTAGTTGTGGTTGGCCGGATGCACGGGATGCATGTAAGGCCAGGCCAACTATTGAGGCACAGGGTTTGGCAAGCCGAGACCATCACAGCCCAGCGTGGTCACACAGGCCAATTAAGACGGGCCTTCTCCTCTCCTTTCTTCTCCTCTCCTCCTCTGTCTATCTCTCATCTCTCCCTCTCTCTTTATCTCTCACTTTCTCTCTTGTACTCCCTCTCTCTTTCTCCCAATCCTCACAAAGCGTGGTCACACATTCCTCTTTTCCCACTTTGCCTCTCTAATTGCTGTGGACTGAAAAGAGGATGGAGAGAAGGCAATGAGATTGAGAGAAAGAGACAGTGAGAGGGAGAATTAGAGGGAAAGGGGGTCATACCACAGAACCTCTATGGCCAGGACAAACTGTACTGGTCCCCCCTGGAATAGTCAAAACTCCTGTATGCAGCGCGTAAGCATCCAGCGCTCTCGTTAATTAAAATATAATCATTTGGCTAATCCCCCTCTACCCCCACCACCACCACCACCACCCTCCTCCACCCCAAAGAGCTTAAGTTCAGAATGTAAAATATAATTCGATCTACATCCTTGCATGGGCTCTGAGGTGGTTACAGCAGAGCCGGAGCATAAAGAGGGGATTGTGTTTCTTCAGCGCCCCACAAAACTACCTAATTGTTGATTCCTAATCAACCAGGAGCTGCGACGGGCTTTCCTAATTATGTAACCGTAGGTTCTGACATATTAACAATGAAGTGGAAGTTTTGGTGGGTTTTCAGCGTGAGGAGGAAGAGAAGAAGGTCAGGCGTATAGCGAGTCCTCTTCCTCCGTCGTCTGCGTTTGTTTACGTCGTCGTGGCTTAAGTTGAGTTTCTAACGTGTCAAACGAATTCAAGGGTGTGATGATGAGGCAAAAAAAAACAACAA